CCGGAGTGTGTACCAAACACATTGACACCCAGCAGAGTTTATTTTCGTTTCATCTTACAGTCTGAACGAATGGGCCACAGCCAATGGGCCGTTTGTTTCGGCACTGCTGTACTGGTCCTGCCATTTCACCAGGTCTGTACCTGCGGCTGTATTACTGGAGATCTGGTTTGACAGCCGGGGGTCAAGACTGAAAGGTGCCGCCCTAAAGACTGGTCTTGCATGCAACAAGGGGCATCTGTAATCTGAAGATGTTGGCTGCAGCAAGCGAGGTCCTTCACCGTTCCTCGGAAGAATCTAGCTGGAGTTTCATATTCCTGCCTGGACGGCAGGCGTGCGCGGCCTCGGGAGATTTGCAGAATACAGCTGCTGTGTCTGTCTGTCTTTGTGGGGGCAGGCAGCTGCTGGAGCGGAACGGAGGCCGTTCCCAGACTGACTTGGCAGGCAGCAGCTGTTGTTTGTTCAAGTGCCTCCCCGGACCTGCTGCTGCAGCTCCCAGGAGATTTCCCCATTCCCAGACTTTCGCTTGGAAAATCCGGGGTCTAGCCAGATCAGTGGAAAGGGAAGGAATGCAGTGTGCGAAGGCGGGTGCTTGTTCGACTCCTCTCATGTGTCCTGGCCTGTTTTCAAACTCCAATGGACACTTGAGTGGCAAGAAAGCATTGCAACCTGGTATTGGTTTGGCGGGATCAGGTTGTACAGAGTTCTGACCTCGGTGGTTCTCTCTCTCTCATACAGCAAGGCTTTCCTCTCCCTATGACTGCCGCCAGGAAGAATTGTTTGGCTTCAAAGTGCGTTTAGGAAGCTAGGGGCCGTGCCTGAGGGGCAGGGGCACGCCGGGCTTCTGGCCCCGAAGATCCCAATGTCCAAGACGTAGGGATTCACAGGAGAGGAGGTGTGGCGAAAGTGTGGTCTGCAGAGGCTTGTCTCCAGGGGCTTAGGAGTGTTTCCAAGTGATGAGGACTCATGTGGAGCTCAGAGTCCTCCAGCCTTGACTGGTGCTGGGTAACAAGATCAGGTGGGCCATGCAGCCCTGGAGCTAGCTAGCTTGTCCCACCCCCAGACGGGGGTCCAGCTGGTGATGAGCAAGATCAGCTTTAAGTGTAGTAAAATATCTTTGTAGCCGAGACTTCACGGGGATGGTGGAGCTCGTGAGCATTGCGTTATTTGGGGGGGTTTTCAGCTTGGGTTTGGGAAGCCCCAGCAAGCATGGCCAACGGTGGGAGCCCACCCTGCGCTTTGTACACGCGACACGGACTTGTCCTTCAGTCCACCGAAACTGAAACAGGGTGGTGGAGCGACAGTGAACAGTCGTGAAGCCCTTGCACACATCATATGCACTAATACAACTCAAACCCCATGACCCGATTGCATACGAGACTTATTGGCTGAGAAAAGCACCGCCCCGTTTGTAGTTTAGTATGTTTAATGCCCCTTCTCATCTTGGAACCTAACCTGTTTTAAAGACAGGTCCATGGGGACGGCACACTTCTGAATTCCTTACCTCCTCCTGAGACGTCTGCAGAGAACGTACGAACAGCGGCACCTGGGAGAGGGAGATGCAGGGGAACGAGTTAGAAAAAGACTCGGAGCAACAAAGAGGAATATACTTTAGGTCTTTTTTTTTTTTTGCTCTGTGCAGTAATGGGTGCAGACATCCTATAAATCAAAGCCCGATGTGGAATTACTGGGGCCCTGTCATGTCATAAAGGAAGCAAAAATATATGGCCTGTCATTATTGGCATAGACTAGATAAGTCTGTGTTCTCACCGGTGGAATGCTTAGCTCATGTTTGCACCATTAACCCGAGCTCCGCCATTTATTATGGTGTGGTGGGGAAGTGGAAAGTCTGGATCGGTGCCATTAAATAGTCGGAGCCGGTGATTCAGTGCCCGGGAACAAAGTACCGCCAGCCTCGGAGCCAGCCGGTTGTGCAGCCGGCAGGTCGCTGTAAAGACTTGCGGGGCAGTGATTAATCTGGCAGGCTTTCCAGAAAGCCAGCACGCAGCAGCTGGGGGCGAAGGCATGTCGGCTTCCCGCTGAAACAAAACCCCTATTGTGCCGAGCTGCATGTGCTGCGCTCGGCTTGCGGCAGGCCTCCTCGACACCTCCGCCCACACTTCCCGGAGTCACGGAGTCTCCCGGCCTCGGAGCCAGCCAGTCAGCCAGCGTGCCAGCACCAGAGCCTTGCGCCTGCCCCTCCCTCCTCTCAGGCTTTGGAGATCACCTCCCTCTCCACCTCACCTTGCCCTGGCCAAGGAAGGCTTTCTGGAACGTGTTGGGTGGGGCGGAGGGTCGCTTTTGGTTTTGGGAACCTTTAAGACTTGCGGCAAAGTGGGCCAAGGTCATTTCTGGCTCGCCCGACTCTTCAACAGCTGTGTGAGCACCTCCCTAAACTGCTTCGACTGTGATCGGAGGGTCAGCAGCTCCTGTCCCGGAGAGCCGTAGCCCCGCAGGCTTTTGAAGCAAGTCTCCTGTGGATAATGAGCAGAGATCTGGAAAGCAGGCCCGCCCCACCTCATTAAGCAACTGCTTGATTCATTTATCGTTGATTTGATTCAGTTAAAACAATCAGAGCTCGGCTGGATTAAAATCCCAAGAAGGTGCTGTGGCCCCACGGACCCCCAGGTCATGATTAATTTCACCAGAGTGCAGCAGGCCCTTATCTGAGGGTTCGTGGTGCTGATTGGCTGACTGTTAAGCTGGTCTGATCCTCTCAGATAAGACCCTGTAGAGAGCTGCTCAAGAACGCATTTCACAGCTGCAGAGGTGAAAGTCCTATAAGGGGTCTCCCAGGATTACCCAGCTAATCCAGCCTTCCTAAAATAAGTAGCCAAACGGATACAGGACGTAATACAAAGGAAATGAAAACCGGACTAGCACCATTTTATTTAAACAATACATATATTCTGAAATAAATGCAAGTTTACAGGGATATTATTTAGTGTCTGTAACACGTGTTTGATGTTACAGCTCTCTCAAAATCGTATAAAATCCTATACTCTGGGCCTCTAATGTAGCAAGTCCCTCATTCTTAATTGCAGACGAGTTATTTTTTCATCTGGGACACATTTTTAAACGTGCTTTCGACTCTTGAAAGGTCAACTGGGATTTGTAATTGGTACCTAACCCCTTTCCAGTCTCCCAGTTTCTGGGTTTCAGGAGTGTACCCATTCAGGTGTGGAAGCTGAAATTGAACCAACTGGACTTGAGCAACAGGAAAAGACAAAAGCATCAGCTGGGAGTGCTTTATACAGTACGATTCCCTGTGTTTGTTCATCTAAAATTAGAAACCTGTTAATGGGGTTTTAGAATAAAGGGAGGAAGATCTTAATGAGCACTTTGGGGGAAAAACAGCATAGAGCTGTGTGTGCTGAAGGTGCTGAAAAAACGCACTTGAGTGTAACAATGGGTATGTCTAGAAATTAAACTGTATGGAATTGGTGCCCACCCTGTTTTTGAGTTTCAGAACTGTACTCATTCAGGTGCGGAAGCTGAAATGTTAACCGGTGAAATTGAACAGGGATCTTTCCTACGCCCGTGCCTTTGTATGTGTTTTATAGCCCCACCTGCGAGGCTGAGTCGGGGCTGACTCGTTCTGGCACGGCTCCGACAAGGGGGGTGTACTGTTACTGCAGGTGAACCTGCGCTCGGACACGCAGCTCCTGAGCTCTCTGTTCTCTCGGCAGATTTAGCCCTGGAGTCGAACCCGTCGGACCACCCCCGAGCCAGCACCATCTTCCTCAGCAAGTCGCAGACCGACGGTGAGTGATGGGGAGCTCTTCCCTGCTTTCCCACCTCCTTCTCCCGCCCTGTGGGCCACCTCCTTCCCGGCAGCGGTGCTTCTGATGCAGCCGGTCTCCACGAGCCCGGGGGTCCCACCCTCTCGAGGCCCTTTTTTACAGTCTCGCTCAGTTAGTCCCCCTCCCCCCCGCCATTGAGAGATTGGGCTTGATCTCGCCTGCTCTTCAGCCGAGAGCGGCAATTTGGGAGATCCTAAGCCCTACCTGCGCCGTGCAGCTCGGCACCCAGTCTCCTACAGTGACCCGCGAATGAACCGTGCTGCGAGAGAGGGTAGGGATGGGTTCGACTCGCCCGTGCCTTCTGATTAAACCTTCCACAGGGTCCTCTGCCAGCCTGCTGTCTGAAATGGCAGCAGCGCATCGGGTGTCCTTGGAAATCATCCGTTGTAATGGAGGCATGCAAAGCTCTGCAGCACATCCAGAAAGCAGAACAAAGTTGCTAACAGGCTTATCGGAGACCTTACGGTGTCGGCTTCCTCTTATCAGCGGCATAATGGTGGTTGAACTAGAGGGCTCATGACCAGGAGGTTTCTGGTTTCCAGCCTCACCGTCTGCCTCTCTGTTACCTGAGCGAGCAGGCGACCCTCACCAGCAGCACAGCGCGGGCTTGCTGGAAGCTACTCTGCTGCATAAGGTCTTCGTGTGTAGTTCGCTCTTAAGATCTTCTCCCTAATTCTGGAGCAGCGCATGTTCTGAGCCACTGAATGCTATAATTCACACCTAAGCTTAGAGGAAAGGCAAGGCCACTGATGCATTTCTCTTTCTTTTCCAGTGAGAGATAAAAGGAAAAGCAATCACATCAACCACGTAAGTAACTGACGGAAAGCTCCCGATTTAGATGTTCTAATCTGGGTTCTCCTTTAGAGAAAAAAGGGGCAGTTTGGGGATGTACTCTAATTGTTCTGCTATTATTCCAGTACATTTATTTTTACCTCTTCCCTTTATAACTGCTATAACGGCTCTCTGCATGACCATCAAGCCTGTTTATTCATGTACGTATATACCCCACGTATAGGTACATAAATACGCAGGTAGTTTTCAACCAGGCAGGACTGGTTCTGCAGGCCCACTGACCTCAAACATCTCAGAACTCCCCCAGCGTGTCTGCGTGTTCGTTGGGAAGGAATATGCCGGGGGGGGGGGGGTGTTATTCTGAGACGGATGTGTCATCTGATGGGTTTGCTTTCACTGAATCGCCAACCTTGTTTTTGCTGGTCTCTCTCTCCTTGGCCTCCTGCGTGCACCGAGCTGAGCCAGATTAAAATGAGCACCCTTGACTAGGGGAGAGCATTTCACGCAGCTTGACAACATTTTTTAAAACTGTTTCTGCTTTTCCCAGACCCAGGCCCGGTGCTTGGGCTGCCCCCCGCAACACCTTTACATCTCTCTTTGATTTGTCCCCTTCTGGTTTATTATTTTCAAGGTGTCTCCTGGGCAGCTGACAAAGAAATACAGCTCCTGTTCCACCATATTTATTGATGACAGCACAGTCAGCCAGCCTAATTTAAAAAGCACAATAAAATGGTGAGTGTCGTGTGGACGCCTCTCGGGGACTGAGCTGCTGCCCGGTGACTCGGGGGGTTAGGGGTGGCAAGCGTTGACGTATCCGCGCCGGTTACTTCACTGCTGCCGGTCTGCAGAGAAGACTAGAAGGTGACTGGAGCAGACCTGCTCTGTATTCCCGTAAAGACATGAACGCTTTCTTTGTAGTTGCCCCCCGCCCGGATCGGTCATTTTGTATGGCATCATTTCGCTTGTGTCGGAGCGAAATAAAAAGGTGACTTCTGGTTTTTCATTGCAAGAAGCCGATGGACTGGAGGGGTTTCGGTGGGGGGTGAGGGGTGGTGCTGGTATTGGGAGTTCGAACTCGGATGACTCTGGTTGCCGTTTCCTGTAACCGGATCTGCGATCACGTTGGCGTGAGAGCGATGCGGGTCACCTGGCTTGCGTTAATGCGTTGGGGTCTCCTGGGAGAGGCAGCGGGCAGCGGTGGGCTGAGCCAGCCTCTCCAGCTCCTGCGCCCTGGACCCGAGAGGGGAAAACCCCTGTGAACTAACCCTTCTTTTCTCTTTTTGCTTTCCAGTGTTACGTTAGCAATATACTACCATATAAAAAACAGGTAAGGCTGGTCTCTGTGTTCTTCCACTTCCTTCGCCTGCACGCGATACCGATTGATTCTGGCCGATGCGCGGGTCTTGAATTTGGTCTCCGCGCCGCGCCTTCTGCGTTTCTCCTCCCGTCGTCCCTGCC